AATGTCTTGCAGGAGTTTTTCACTTTTAACATTCATTTCTATGTCCTGATACACTAGGATGTGCTAACACAGTTTGGGAATTGCTGCCAAAAACAATAGTGGCATACAAATATAATTGTGTTCCATACAATATTAAAAAGTGCTAAACCAATAAAATTAAATCATAAAAGCAGAATGGGCAATAAATTTGGCTAGTCACAAACCTAAGTCAGATCTTGTTATCTCTTACAGCATAACAAAACATTAGGTGTAATTTTTCATTATGAGTACAGTCCCATGATGCATGGATAAGTGAGAAAAGAGGTTATGAAATGAATTTTGAAGCACAGCAATTATTACTCTAAGTGTAAACATGTCTAGCTTAATTTCAAAAATTGGAGCTTATGAGACCAGGTTCCCAAAGTTTTGCTTAGTAGGAGAATTTCCCTTATACTTTCTGTCTCCTTTCCCATGCTGTGGAATGTGGCAGGAAGGGATACATTTTTCCTGGCTTCCATGGGAAGAGGCCAAGCATAAATGCGTCACAGCACCATGTGCTGTGATGGAGGGAGGGTGTGTGTGGAAGGATTTAAAAGTTCCTACCACCCCCTCCTCTCTTTCTTTGCGTGGATGATATCTAGATGGGAGACATCCATTGGGGCTGGCCCGAGGGCTGTAACCTCACGTTAAGTCATGTGACTTGGGGGAGGCCATCTCAGGATGGCCTTCTAGTTGCCGGCCGGCCAGCCAGGGAGTAACCTAGTTCTCAAGGTTCTCCTTGGCGCTCAGGTGTTTCTCCCAGGGGAAGCTGAGGATGAGGTCTGAGTGAAACAACTGGTCTCAGCTGCTGCCACATTAGGAGGCTCCCCATTCTCAGGGATTAAAGTTTAAATAGGCTAATAGTTAAAATAAAGTGGCCCTTTTCAACCCAATCTCTGTTGTGTGGTCTTGTTATTTCCATGATTAGTCAGCAAAGTATCTTTCTAGGTCATAGACCTCTAGACTCTTCAACAGTGATTCCCAAACTCTGGTCCTTCAGGTGTTTTGAACTTCAGCTCCCAGAAGCCTCAACCATTTTGATCAATGGTCTGGGATTTTGGTAACCAAAGTCCAAAACATCTGGAAAGCCAGAGTTTGGGAATCACTGCTCTAGGAGGTCTTCTGTAGCTGGGCATTTTCTATTCACTTGGTCTTATTTGGAGTTTTGTGTTGCTGTTGCTTTATGGAAGAGTGTGGAGTTGTAAGATTTTCATGATTCTGTTCTTTTAAAGGCTTCAGTCAGCTTGTTCTCAGTGTATCAAGGACTTGGAAATAAAGAAAGCTCAGGTACTATTCTTGGAAAAACAGCAGGAAAATCAACAGAAAGAGCTAAATCAGGTACTTTCTCTTACAAATATTTTAAAAAATCTAATTGTTGTAAATATTCTTTTGTTATGTATAACAAACTTAGGATCCATGAGGTAGAATTTACCCCATGTTGGAGTAAACAGGAAAGAAATGTGAGGCTTTTTCTCTTGCATGTGCAGCAGGGCAGAGATGAGGAACAAGCAGCCCTACAAAAGTTGTAGGACTGCATCTCCCATTATATACCAACATTGACTACTCTGGCCAGGGCAGGTGGGAGACAATTTTAATAATATTTGGATGGATATGCATTCCTTATCCCTGCAACAGGACAGTAAGGTGTTGCAAACTAGACTTGAGGTCCAGATGTTGCAAACTGGACTTGAGGACCTGGCTGGGGGAGGATACTGCCATCACCTGGAATCAGGCTCTCCCAGCCAGATATTCTGTTTATGAGCAGGTGAGGGAAAATGGGCAGGGGGAGTCCATAAAGATAACCTTTCCTTGACTAGGATACCTATCCCGAAAACAGACCACTTCAAGTGTATGTACTTAAGCCTGAAAACTAGGGATAGTATAGGGATCCTGTTGGTATACAGTCCACCCCATTGCTTAACAGACTCCCTATCCGAGCTGACGCAGCTGGTCTCCGAGTTGTTGCTGGAGTCGCCTAGACTTTTAGTTCAACATCCCACTCAAGACCAGTTTAACAGGTGCGGCTCAGCAGTTCATGGATTCCATGACAGACATGGGCCTATCCCAATTGGTTTCCGGGCCAACCCATTCAGCGGATCATACACTTGATGTGGTCTTTAGTACGGAACTGGCATATCTGTGGGCCGAGGTAATAAATACCACTGCACTGTCATAGACAGATCATTTCCTGGTCAAGGTTGGACTAAGAGCCACTGTTCACCCCACCGGGGGTGGAGGACCTATTAAAATGGTCCGCCCTTGGAAGCTAATGGAGCCAACTGGATTCCAGATGGCCTTGGAGGGTTCCTTGGTTGGTAGACCCGATGATCCTGTCGAAGCTCTGGTGAATGCTTGGAACACCGATCTTACCAGGGCTATCAACACGATTGCTCCCAAGCATCCTTTCCAATCCACTCTAAATCGTCATCCTTGGTTCTCAGATGAACTTAAGAAGATGAAACGGGTGGGACAATGACTAGAACGCACCTGGTGGAAAACTTGACTCTTATCTGACAAGACTCATCATAGGAACTTTCTTCATTCCTATTGAAAGACAATATGTGCAGCACAGATATCCTTCTCCTCTGCACGTATTGCTTCTGTGGAATCTCGTCCAGCAGAACTATTTAGGGTGGTAAGGGAGCTGACACAGGCTCCACCTGTGCAGAACCCTTTATTTAACCCGACAACAGCCTGCTGTGACATTTTCAACAACTATTTTGCAGATAA